GGGCATTTCTGCTCCCTCTTGCTTGTCTACCCTCTAGGAGGGACAGGGCAGGTAAGCAGATGAGGAGTGTGTTCCAGAAGGCCTTGGTGCCGTCCCCAGTCAGAACAGTATGAGTTTTGTGTCCCTGGAAAAAGGGTCCTGGTCGGTGTAGCTCACAACACTGGAGGTCCCGGCCCAAGACGTAGGGGCCGTGGCGGGTGCGGGTGGCATGGTGGGAGGGCGTGTAGAGCCAGCCCTTCACTGCGTGGCCGGGAGAGGACAGATGGGCCTGGCCAGGCCCTGGTGGGACGTGTGCCCACACCCCTGGAGGCGGAGTCAGGGCTCGGGTGTCTGCTGCTGTGTCACCATGCACGCCACCCACTGTCCTCCAGCCACGCCTGCCCTGTCCCGTGCCCGGTCAGCACCCCACACCCGACCTCTGCCCAGGCGTCAGGAGCCCCTGGTGACGCACGTGGCAGGGGAGAGTGATGGGTGGCCACGGCTCTTGGCTCAAGCCCTCCACCCCCGCCCGTGGGAAAGTTGAGGAATCTTCCCGAAGCCACACCCAGCTTCCGTCCCAGGAGGTTGCAGGCTCTTCCCAGCGCCGCTGCCTCCCTGCGTCGCAGCGCTGCATGGCGCCAGGTGTTTCCGGGCTGCCTGTGGGACGCTGCTAACACACGCAGAAATGACTGGAAGTTGCCTTTGATTTTTATGGCCCTTTTTGTCCTATTAAAATGCTTAGAGCTAGAAATGGTGTCATCGACAGCTCATTTATCTTGACAAAAGCACAGCTGTAAATGACCTGGTGCTTGCGAGGCGGCCGGGAGATGAGCTCTGCCGTCTCCACGGCTTCAGCACAGGTGGCCCGGAGATGAGCTCTGCCGTCTCCACGGCTTCAGCACGGGCGGCTCAGAGATGAGCTCTGCCGTCTCGATGGCTCCGCACGGGCGGCCCTGCCACACAGCACACCTTTTCCATTCGTGACTGAGATGTTCTGAGGGTGTGGAACACACGCTTGGGCGTAGAGGGACAGACCATGTCCAGAGTCCGCTCAGCACCACCAGGGGATGGGCCGCCGGGGAAGGGTGACGGCGATGCTCCAAGCGGGGGAAACCTGCCATCCCTGAAGAGGTGGACCTCTCCAGCCCAGCAGCACTGTTTGAGACAGGCGTGGGGACTGTGGGGCCGTCTCTCGGCTCCTGCCTGTGGGCCTGGTGATGCAGAACCTGCTTTTACTAAGGGCCTGGCTCGGGGGAACCCTGTGCTCAAAAGAAGCTTATACTTGGCTCCCCCACAAAGAGCTTCAAGAAGCTCCAAGTCCAGGCTGGAGGGGGGGTAGGGTCTAGCAGAATTTTAGCTAGTGGAGGTGTGTGTGTGTGTGTGTGTGTGTGTGTGTGTGTGTGTGTGTGTACGTACATACACGTATGTGTACATACCAATACTGAGGCTTGAACTAAGGGCCTTAAGCTTTTGTGTTCATGGCTAGTGCTCTACCACTCAAGCCATACCGCTAACTTGTGGGGTTTTGGTGGTTAATTGGAGATAAGAGTCTCACGGACTTTTCTGTTCTGGCTGACTTTGAATCAGGTCTCAGCCTCCCTGAGTAGCTGGGATTACAGTTGTGAAGCTGGCCCCCAGTTAATGGTGACGTTTTGCAGCTCTCAGTGGAAGCGGCTTGTCCCGCAGACCTCATGCAGGTGACCACCCGCAGACCCGTGGTGCTGGTGGGCTGTTTCCTTCTTGGTAACTGGGCCAAGGAAAGCAAAGCCTTGCCTTGGTCTCCTGGGTGGTCTGCCCCAGCAAACCTTGTGCGTTTGTACATCTCCTGGCTTTCTCTTCCCATTCTCCCCTGAGTGTGCGCTCCGATGGTGACATGAGTCACAGTGTCCCAAGTCAGGAAGGAGCACCAAGCCTCAAGCCAGAGTGAACCCGTAGAGCCACCATGCATCTGGACACCAGTGGCTCACTCCTGTAGTCTTAGCTACTCAAGAAGCTGATATACGATGATGGCAGTTCAAAGCCAGTTTAGGCAGGAAAATTCAAGTTAACTAAAAAACCAAAAGTGGAGCTATGGTTCAAATGGTAGAGCACCAAGCTTGAGCAAAAAAGCTAAGGGACAGCACCCAGACCTGAGTTCAAGCCTCACTACTGGTACTGAAAATTACTCCGTATGTTACCTATTAGATGGACGGATACAAGCCAGGCGCCACCGGCTCACGCCTGTCATCCTAGCTGGTCAGGAGGCTGCGATCTGAGGATCGTGGGAAAGCCAGCCCGGGCAGGAAAGTCCACGAGACTCTTATCTCCAATGAACCAGCATAAAACAGGAAGTGGCGCTGTGACTCAAGTGGTAGAGCACTAGCCTTGAGCTGAAGAGCTGAGGGGCAGCACCCAGGCCCAGAGTTCAAACCCCGTGACCGACTAAAAAAAAAGAGAGATGCATAGATACAGCACCAAAGAAGCAGCCAGTGGCACAGACGAGCACCAGTGTGGAACAAAAGGCTGCACAGTACACACAGTGGCGGTGGCGGATGGGGTCCCTGGCGAGGAAAAGCTGCGTGCATTGCGTCAGGTGATGGCCAGAGGAGGGACAGGTCAGTCTGGCACAGGCATGGCTCTGGGGAACTGGGGAACACGGGGGGCCTGGAGTCCGCTAAGATTGCCCCATGTCTCTTAAATGGTGTGCTTCGGAATGGCACTGGCCAGTGCGGAGGACATGGTCCTGATGCTGCCACCAGCGAGGTGCCCAAGCCACTCAGGGCTTGGACGGGGTCCCTGAGCCGACCAACCTGGTGTGGTACACCACCCTCACTCCCAAAGAACTCCAGTTCAGTGTGGGTGACTGGACCCCACAGAGAGGCGGCGGGCCGCTGAAGGACCTGGGCCTCTTCAGAGTTTCAACACTTAGGAGCAGACGGCAGAAAAGAGGCAGGAAGCCCCCCGGCCAGCGTCCTGTCTGTGGCCTGGGCCTGAGGCTGTGGGTGTTCCTGGGCGGATGGGATTGGTTTCGGGGTGGAGAGATGCTGGTGTAAGGGGAACTAGAAGGGAATTGATTTATCTAGCATTTTCCTTGAGGTATAATTTATGCTCCGTGTGCTGCACGTGTTTGGTGCGATGGTTTGGGTGTGCTAAAGTTTTGACCCTCAGTTCCTGGCAGTGTTAAGAGGGTTGGGTCAGGTGGGAGGTAGTGAAGTCACGGGGGTGTGGCCTAGAGAAGAAATTAGGCCTCTGAGGGCGTGGCCCTGAGGGAGGAAGTGGTGGGGGGTCATCCTTGAGGGAGGAAGTGGAGGGGTCATATCCTTGAGGGAGGAAGTTGGGGGAGTGCTCTTGGAGGGGATCCTGGGATATTGGCCCTGCCTGGCTTTCTTTTCTTCCTGTCCTCCACAGACCCCTGGCCAGAGAGTGATAGTGCATCTTGGTGCGTCCAGGTATTTTACTGTGGTTACATTGAGGTTACAGTATTGAAATTAAATGTATTTTCCTAATGATGATGTTTAGTTACATTGGTTTCAGAGGTTGTTTGGCAGTTAGGTCCCTTATCATTCCCTATGTATTTTAAAACCATCTTGTCAATATCTAACACAAAGCCTGCTGAGACGTTGATTAGGTCTGTATTAAATTTGTAAGATCTGAAGGAGAGTTGGTATCTTGATATTGGGCTTTCTGATCCATGGATTCAGATCTTTGAAATTTTTCCTCAACTGTATTTAGAAGTGTTATGGCTGTTGTCCGATTTATCCTTCAATATTTCTTGCTGGTTTTACTTTTTAATGCTACTACAAATGGGATTTTAAAACATTGTTACTGTGCAGTGCTGGTGTGACTAACATAGAGGGTACAGTTGCATTTTGTACATTGTTGCTGTATCTTGACAACCTTGCTACACTCGTTCATTAGTTCTGACATCTCTTTGTCTCCACTAAGACAAAAGGGTGTTTTTCTTCTTCAGTACATCCTTACAGCTAAGCGCAAGGATTTTTACCATCCTGGGACAGACGCAACTTGCTCACATATAGTGCCCTCCTCCTGGAAAGGGATTTGCTCGCATTCTGTTAAGAATTTTTGCATCTGATTTTGAGGCTCTTGCAGGTTGTTAGCTACCAGTGGCTTGGCTGGTCTAGGGGCGGGGAGCTGTCCCTCCCTTCAGACAGGCTTGTGCGTTACCCATGAGGCTGTGCGGAGCCTGTCCTCCATTTTGGCCGTGGACAGTGATGGTTCCAAATGGAGACTTCATGTGAGTGAGCCTCTGAAGCACATCTCTACTGCGTGGGCCTGGAGTCCCGAGGCAGGGCCTCGGCTCTCAGCTCCCACCCCGAGGGTCACCCTGCTGCTGGGGTGCCCATCCCGAGAGCCCCACATGAGGGCTGGGACTCGGGGGCCCAACAAGGGTGTGTATCGAAACCCTAAATAATATCCCTAGCTTTTGGCCCATCGGCGCCTGTCCTCGGGAAGGTGTAGAAGCCATGAAGCTAACACCAGGGTGCCCGCCCCCTGGAAGACTAGCGCTGGGGGTGGGAGCGGAGACCTCTCGCCTGCGTCTAGCTGTGTAAGCCCTTGAAGGGAAGCGGGCCTCCCAGGGGTCATCGTTTTATCCTTTTTCTAGCTTCCAAATTATTTCCTGCATGAACTAGATCGTTTTTCTTGAGGGTGGAGCGGGAGAAGAATGTTAGCTGGTAAACAGTGCTGAAGTGCAGCACACCTCACTGCGAGCTGGAGGGGAGGAGCGAGCGGGAGGGGCGCACCGATCTGCGTGCGTGTGCGACCTGCCGTGGGGACCCTCTGAGCAGTCAGCAAACAAAGCAAATGACCGGGCCCAGGGTGGGCGCGGGCTGAGACGGGGGGAGGATGGGACCTGCGCGTGTGTGGCCGCGGGACAGTGAAGCTGGGGGGGGGCCCATCCAGCGCGCACAGACGGACGCCCTTCCATGACTAATCCGTGCTTTCGTTTACAAGTGGGGAGGTGGTAAGAGAAGGAGGCCCCCTAGGCCTCCGCCTCTCAGCGCGCTCTGCCCGCCTTTCAGACGTTGGGAGCCACCACTGCAGTGCCTGTCACCCGTCCTCAGGTCAGCTCCTTGCAGAGGTTGGCTGGGCAAGGAGCAGCAGTGCTACCTCAGGTAAGCGGCTGGGGTGGGGCCCCTGGCCAGGCCCCGGCCCCGCCCCGCAGCCCTGGCTCCGGCCCCGCCCCGCAGCCCTGGCCCCGCCCCGCCCCTCAGCCCCGGCCCCGCCCCGCAGCCCTGGCCCCGCCCCGCCCCGCAGCCCTGGCTCCGGCCCCGCCCCACAGCCCTGGCCAGGCCCCGCCCTCAGTCCCGGCCCCGCCCCTCAGCCCCGGCCCCGCCCCGCAGCCCTGGCTCCGGCCCCGCCCCGCAGCCCTGGCCCCGCCCCGCCCCTCAGCCCCGGCCCCGCCCCGCAGCCCTGGCCAGGCCCCGCCCCTCAGCCTCGGCCCCGCCCCGCAGCCCTGGCCAGGCCCCGCCCTCAGTCCCGGCCCCGCCCCTCAGCCCCGGCCCCGCCCCTGGCCAGGCCCCGCCCCGCAGCCCTGGCCCCGCCCCGCCCCTCAGCCCCGGCCCCGCCCCGCAGCCCTGGCCAGGCCCCGCCCCGCAGCCCTGGCCAGGCCCCGCCCTGCAGCCCTGGCCAGGCCCCGCCCCTCAGTCCCGGCCCCGCCCCTCAGCCCCGGCCCCGCCCCGCAGCCCTGGCCAGGCCCCGCCCCGCAGCCCTGGCCAGGCCCCGCCCCTCAGTCCCGGCTCAGCCCCGGCCCCGCCCCGCAGCCCTGGCTCCGGCCCCGCCCCGCAGCCCTGGCCAGGCCCCGCCCCACAGCCCTGGCCAGGCCCCGCCCCTCAGCCCCGGCCAGGCCCCGCCCCACAGCCCTGGCCAGGCCCCGCCCCTCAGTCCCGGCCCCGCCCCTCAGCCCCGGCCCCGCCCCTGGCCAGGCCCCGCCCCGCAGCCCTGGCCCCGCCCCGCCCCTCAGCCCCGGCCCCGCCCCGCAGCCCTGGCCAGGCCCCGCCCCGCAGCCCTGGCCAGGCCCCGCCCTGCAGCCCTGGCCAGGCCCCGCCCCTCAGTCCCGGCCCCGCCCCTCAGCCCCGGCCCCGCCCCGCAGCCCTGGCCAGGCCCCGCCCCGCAGCCCTGGCCAGGCCCCGCCCCTCAGTCCCGGCTCAGCCCCGGCCCCGCCCCGCAGCCCTGGCTCCGGCCCCGCCCCGCAGCCCTGGCCAGGCCCCGCCCCACAGCCCTGGCCAGGCCCCGCCCCTCAGCCCCGGCCAGGCCCCGCCCCACAGCCCTGGCCAGGCCCCGCCCCTCAGTCCCGGCCCCGCCCCTCAGCCCCGGCCCCGCCCCGCAGCCCTGGCCAGGCCCCGCCCCGCAGCCCTGGCTCCGCCCCACAGCCCTGGCCCCGCCCCACAGCCCTGGCTCCGGCCCCCTCAGCCCCGGCCCCGCCCCGCAGCCCCGGCTCCACCCCTCCGCCCCGGCCCCGCCCCTCAGCCCTGGCTTCGGCCCTGGCCCCACCCCTCATCCATGGCCACACCCTCCTGCCTTGGCCCCAACCTTCCATGGCCACACCCTCCTTTTGGGCCATGCCCTCATCCATGCTCACATCCTTCTGCCATGGCCCCGCCCCTCAGCCCTGGCTCCACCCCTCATCTATGGCCACGCCCTTCTGCCTTGGCCCCACCCCTCAGCCCTGGCCCCACCCCTCATCTATGGCCACGCCCTTCTGCCCTGGCCCCACCCCTCATCTGTGGCCACACCCTCCATCCTGGCCCTCTGTGTCCCTCCTTGGGCAGCACTGCCCCCCCCCCCCCCCTTCTGCCTGAATGACCTGAATGAGGCTCCTCACTGTGAGGAATCTGAGTTTTCAAGTAGAGGAGCTGTGAAGTCAACTGGGTTTTGTTCCGAATGGAACTGCAGCAGACTTGGATAGAGTAGAAAATGTCCTAAGCAGCCCTTGTGTGGTTGAGCTGCTGGGTGACGAGGGATCACATTCAGAAGAGACCCAGGAACGCTAGGCCGGTGCCCCCTGCAGGAGGTGGCACGGGCGTGGGCCAGCTGCCCTCCATGCCCGGCCTGGCCAGCTGCTGGACCCCGCCTTGGACAGGCCACCTGGTCGCTCCTACCTCCCCAGCCAGTGTCTCCTGCAGAGGGGTTGATGTGGTGCTTGCTTCATTGCCAGCCTTGGTGACACAGCCAGACAGACCAGCCTGCGCCTGGTGCACAGCAGACACCTGTAATAAGCGGCCGGCACCTTTACCATCACCAGTCCATCTTTATTGAGCACCTGCTGTGTACACAGGCCCCATCCAGGGTTGCTTTAGACTGGACTGTCCCCCTGACCAGTGGGAAGAGCAGGTGGCAGGCACCTCTTCTCCCCTACACCCCATCAGCCCTGGGCAGGTCTCCCCAGGGCCACACGGGTCCTGGAGGAGCCAGGATCGGCTCAGACGCATCCCAGCTCCACGGTTTTGAGGGGAGCACAACTGCCACCCCCCTGGGATGAGGACCGGACATGGCCGGATGCCGGGGCCAGGGCCACCTGGCCTTGCCCAGCACCTCTGACAGGAGGGCCGTGGAGGATGCAGGACTCCAACTGCACCGGCACCTCTCCCCATCTCCCCCATCCCACCTCCCCCATCTCCACGCTGCCCACCTCCCCTCTTCCCTCTCCCCATCTCCCCCATCCCACCTCCCCCTTTCCCTCTCCCCATCTCCCCCATCCCACCTCCCCCTTACCCTCTCCCCATCCCCCATCTTCACGCTGCTACCTCCCCCCTTCCCTCTCCCCACCTCCCCCTTCCCACCTCCCCCCTTCCCTCTCCCCATCTCCCCATCCCACCTCCCCCTTACCCTCTCCCCATCTCCCCCATCCCACCTCCCCCCTTCCCTCTCCCCATCTCCCCCATCCCACCTCCCCCCTTCCCTCTCCCCATCTCCCCCATCCCACCTCCCCCCTTCCCTCTCCCCATCTCCCCCATCCCACCTCCCCCCTTCCCTCTCCCCATCTCCCCCATCCCACCTCCCCCCTTCCCTCTCCCCATCTCCCCCATCCCACCTCCCCCCTTCCCTCTCCCCACCTCCCCCATCCCACCTCCCCCCTTCCCTCTCCCCACCTCCCTCTTCCCATCCCCCATCTCCACGCTGCCCACCTCCCCCCTTCCCTCTCCCCATCTCCCCATCCCACCTCCCTCCTTCCCTCTCCCCATCTCCCCCATCCCACCTCCCTCCTTCCCTCTCCCCACCTCCCCCATCCCACCTCCCCCTTCCCTCTCCCCATCTCCCCATCCCACCTCCCTCCTTCCCTCTCCCCATCTCCCCCATCCCACCTCCCTCCTTCCCTCTCCCCACCTCCCCCATCCCACCTCCCCCTTCCCTCTCCCCATCTCCCCATCCCACCTCCCTCCTTCCCTCTCCCCACCTCCCCCATCCCACCTCCCCCTTCCCTCTCCCCATCTCCCCATCCCACCTCCCCCCTTCCCTCTCCCCACCTCCCTCTTCCCATCCCCCATCTCCACGCTGCCCACCTCCCCTTTCCCTCTCCCCACCTCCCCCATCCCACCTCCCTCCTTCCCTCTCCCCATCTCCCCCATCCCACCTCCCTCCTTCCCTCTCCCCATCTCCCCCATCCCACCTCCCCCATCTCCATGCTGCCCACCTCCCCCCTTCCCTCTCCCCATCTCCCCATCCCACCTCCCCCCTTCCCTCTCCCCATCTCCCCCATCCCACCTCCCCCCTTCCCTCTCCCCACCTCCCCCATCCCACCTCCCCCTTCCCTCTCCCCATCTCCCCATCCCACCTCCCCCCTTCCCTCTCCCTACCTCCCTCTTCCCATCCCCCATCTCCACGCTGCCCACCTCCCCCTTCCCTCTCCCCATCTCCCCATCCCACCTCCCCCCTTCCCTCTCCCCATCTCCCCATCCCACCTCCCACCTTCCCTCTCCCCATCTCCCCCATCCCACCTCCCCCCTTCCCTCTCCCCATCTCCCCCATCCCACCTCCCCCCTTCCCTCTCCCCACCTCCCTCTTCCCATCCCCCATCTCCACGCTGCCCACCTCCCCCTTCCCTCTCCCCATCTTCCCCATCCTCCCTCGCCCCGTCTCCCCTCTCCTCACCTCCTGCCCTTGCTGCTTGCCTCAGAGGAGCTGGGTGAACTGGGCCCCTGGCTAGCCCACTGGCGCTGTGGCAGTCAGTGCCCACAGGGGGAGGGGGGCACCAGGCAGCACATCTAGCGCTCTGGACTCTGCCCGGGAGACTCGGGCGTGCCCTGCACTCCCATCCAGTGCCCCGTCTGGCTCTGCACTGCACCTTCCTCGCCCGCCTGACCAGGCCCTTGCCCCTTCCTCTCAGGTTAGGCCAAAGACTCTGATTCCAGACAGCCTCCCCATCACCCCGGGCCGGGACCGGCCACCCAAGCAGCCCCCGACATTCCAGAAGGCTACTGTGGTGAGCATCAAGAACCCCAGCCCAGCCCTCCCCACTGCCAACAACACCGTCAGCCGTGTGCCAACGCCCAGCAGCCAGCCCCAGGCCCTCGCCGAGCCCACCGCCATCACCTCACCCCTGAGCGGCGCCGGCGTGGCCTACGCCATCATCTCCACCTCCCCCAGCAATGCCACCGCCATCACCCCTAGCACCGCCGTGCCCGTGGCCAGCGACAGCATCAAAGTCCAGCCCCTCCTCATCAGTGCCGACAGCAAGGTGAGGCGGGCCCCAGGTCCCCCAAGGGCGTGCCACACACAGGAGGCACGGAGACGATTATCCAAGCGAGGCCCAGAAAGAATGAGGAGACGGATGGTGTGTGGCCAGGTGGCCAATGACTGATGAAGAAATTGGGTCAACACAAGCGTGTGGGTGGAGTATGAGCAGGCAGTGGAGAATGGCATGTGCATGAACGAGGGATGAGCAGCTTAGTGATGGGCGGGGTGGTGGTGTAAATAAGTGAGGTGCACGTGAGTGAATAGGCAGAGAGGAATACAGCCAAATGGACAAATACCTGTGGGAAAAGAAAGGGGTTGGCTAATCGGTTATGTGGTATGGAATCATTAAGAAAATATGTGGCTCAATGAGTAGCTGCAAGAGAGTCCAGTAGTGTCTGCTGAAGTTGCATGGTCAAGGGCAGTTTTACTTCCCAAGTACCTGTGTAGGAAATACAGGATTTATTTATTTATGTAGGCCAGATTTAAAACTAAACTCTCTACCCCAGGCCTCCCTAGTAGGTGGCTTGTCTGAGACCCTTGGGGTCACGTGTCAGCTGACCTTTGTCCTCAGCCTGTGTACCCTTGCCAGGCTGCCCCTCTCTGACGGGTGACTAATGTCCTTCTGTCCCCCGTCCCTCCTCCCTGGGCCCTCTGCCCCCCATGTCCCCCTCCCTGGGCCCTCACCCCTCTGCCACATCTTCCAGGTTATCATCCTTCAACCTCAAGTGCAGACACAGCCTGAGAGTTCAGCGGACCCACGGCCACCCTCAGAGAAGCCATCTCAGGGAGCTCAGGCCACCAAAAAGAAGAAGGAAGACCGGCCTACCAGCCAGGAGAACCCCGAGGTAGGAGGTCCCCGCCATGGGTGAGCACAGGGGTGGGTGGCGGCATTGGGAGGATCCCACCATGGGCGAGCACACGGTGGGTGGCGGCGGGTGGCGGCATTGGGAGGATCCCGCCATGGGTGAGCACACGGTGGGTGGCGGCGGGTGGCGGCATTGGGAGGATCCCACCATGGGCGAGCACACGGTGGGTGGCGGCGGGTGGCGGCATTGGGAGGATCCCACCATGGGCGAGCACACGGTGGGTGGCGGCGGGTGGCGGCATTGGGAGGATCCCGCCATGGGCGAGCACACGGTGGGTGGCGGCATTGGGAGGATCCCGCCATGGGCGAGCTCGCGGTGGGTGGCGGCACTGGGAGCATCCTGCCATGGGCGAGCATGTGGTGGGTGGCAGCATTGGGAGGATCCCGCCGGCCCTGCGCTGCGGGAGCTGCTGGGAGCTGCAGTGGGTGGGTCTCAGCACAGCTTCGCCAGGGTGGCGGCCTGGAGCCGGGTCTGGAAGGTTTGAACAGCACTCTGCCGGATTCAGCCCCAGGGTGGCTGGTGCAGTGGTGTGATGCGGGCAGCCCTCCATCTCCTGTCCACACGGTGCTGCCTCTTGAGGAGGGGCCTGCGTTACTGTCAGCCAAGCTCCGGGTCACCCCTGTCTGCTCTCTGCCCATCCTCGGGGTCTGAACACTTGAGAAGCAGCGGCCACGGCCACTCACAGTGACCAGTCACCCTGGCCATGGCTCAGTGAGTGGCCATCTCTGCGTCTTCCGTCCAGCCCAGAGCCCCCTGCTCCCTCCACAGGCCTGGTCCACGGCTCTTAAGTCATCCTACAAGATTTTGTTTAGTACTGGTCCTGCCAGTGCCCGTCCTTCCCCATCCCAGCCGGCCCCACAGGCCCTCTGCCCCTGAGCTCCTCGTGATTCTCTGTATGGACAAACAAGTCTCTTCCCAACTCACACCTTCCCTTGGTGTCCAGATGTGTCCAGGCCTTCACTTCCTGCTGGGCACCGTGCCGGAGCTAGAGCAGAGTCCCACTTTGTGAAGAAGGCCTGGCTGCTTAGTGTTCCAGCTGGGTTTGAGGACTGTCCAGAACCATCAGAGAATCGTGAATTCCGAGCTGCAGGAGATGCGGCCGAGGGAGAGATACTTTACCAGCCAACAAGCCAGTGAGGGCCAGGCACCAGAGGCCCATGCCCGTCATTGGAGGCTCATGGCCACAGCCAGTCTGGGCAGGAAATCTATGAGACACTTATCTCCAATTAATTGCCAAAAATGTGTCTCAAGTGGTAGAGAGCTAGGCTTGAAGGGGGAAAAAAAGCAAAACAGCACTCAGGCCCTGAGTTCAAGCCCTAGGACTGCTCACACACGAGGGTAGTGGCTAACGGAGGCCATGTGCGACCCAAGTGCCCTCCACAGCCCAGTGTCTCCGCCTCACGCCAGCCAGTCCGACCCTGAACACCCAGCGGGCGCCCGGAGACCTGGGCCTCTGCTTCCCTGGCTTACCCTCCCTGGAGGCCTCTCTGTACCTCTGATTCTCCTTGTTTTCTCAAAGTATATCTTAGTCAATTATTGTGCATCTTAACAATTAGTATAATTACGTATCACTGCATAATTAGCATAAACATACATAAGAACGTAACAAAAGCAGTCACAATACATTCTGATGGAAATTCCTTGTTAAAGTTGCTTCTCAAAAAAAAAATGGGTTGGGAAGGTGGCTCAGTGGTAGAGCGCTTGCCTTGCATGCCTGAGGCCCTGGGTTCGATTCCTCAGCACCACATAAGCAAAAAGAAAAAAGCCAGAAGTGGCGCTGTGGCTCAAGCGGTAGAGCGCTAGCCTTGAGCTGAAGAGCTGAGGGACAGCGCCCAGGCCCAGAGTTCAGGCCCTCAACCGGACCCCCCCCCAAAAAAAAAAAAAAAAAAAAAGTTGCTTCTCGTTGGGTGCTGGGTAGCTCACACCTGTAATCCTAGCTGCTCAGGATGTCTGAGATCAGAGGGTCGTAGTTCAAAGCCAGCCCAGGAAGGAAAGTTTGTAAAACTTATCTCTGGTTAACTACCAAAAAGCCAGAAACCGAGCTGTGGCTCAAGTGGTAGAGTGCCAGCTTTGGGAGGAAAAGCTAAGGGACCGCGCCCAGGCCCTGAGTTCAAGTCCCAGTATCGGTGTTCGTATGTGCTTGTGTGCGCATGTGCACACACACACACATACACAAAGATTTAAAAATGTAAAAGAAAATAGCAGAGAGTTGTGCTGCAAAGGCCTGTGAGCTGCTTGTGGAGCGGCTCTACAGCCAGCAGCAGCCCCAGAAACCTCCCGGCAAGCCTGGCATGCAGGAAGCACCACGACCCATTGGCCCTACGCCGGCACCCAGCCCACTAAACGCCCACATGTAGATGAACAATCGCCACACTTCACCGGGGCGCCAACGCCTCCGCGCCTCTGATCGTACAAGACAGTACTTATCAAAAGGAGCTTCAGGAAATGGAAGCGAGGTTGTTTTCTTCGTGGATGTTTCCGTTCTCTTCTCGTCTCATTCATCTGTCTTTGGGCAGGCAGGGAGGGACAGATGAGACGCAGAGGCTGAACAAAGCATCCGTGGTGCGCACTCGACTTCGCTGTTAAATGAGTGGGGACGGGAGGGGGACGGCAGGAGCCAGGGAAGCGGTGACACTGTCGGAAACGAAGTGTGCTCTTCACCAGACTTGCGTCACTGTAACCCCTCTGTACATCACCAACACCCAGAGTTTAAATGCCCAAAGGTGAAAAGAACCAAAGCAGAAAAATGGACGTTCTCAAGCTGCTGAGTCCTATTAATTTGTAACTGTTCTGTGTGTCAGTGCTGGGCTTGAACTGCTCTGTCATTCCCTTGGCTCTTCACTCCTGTCTGGCACTCTACCACGCTACTTCTGGCTTTTCTTCTAGTTAACTGGAGATAAGAGTCTCGTGAACTTTCCTGCCCAGCCTGGCCTCCAGCGGCAGTCCTCAGATCTCATCCTCCTGAGTAGCTAGGATTATAGGTGTGCGCCAGGGAGGCCTGGCGATTTGTAGCTTGAAACATCTCCCCAGGAATAGGACGGCGGCCCCTGCTTCTCACGAGCAGGCAGACTAAGGAGGAAATGGGAGGCGCAGACGCCCCCCACCCATGGTAGGGCAGCTGTGACTGCCGGAGGCCATGTGGGGAGCCAGGTCTGCACCTGTGTGTGTGCCGGCTCTGCGCCCACCCAGGAGCACGCACACAGCACAGAGAGACCCCAGCTCCTAAAGCAAAGCAGCCTGTTTGCAACCTCGGAGTTCTTGGGCAAAGCGCAGAGATCCAAACACTGCACCCGCAGACATGACTGGTCCTGCTTACCAGCGTCCGCTTGTTAAGGGGAAAAGCACTCTGAACCCACCCTTGGTGCAGGTGGTGCAGGGTGGCCCTGCGGCAGGGCAGTGTTGGGGTGGCCGGCCGGCGGGCCTGCGAGCCCGGGGTCCTTGGAGTGCATCTGTGGTGTGTTTGTCCTGCTCCCAGGGCCTGGGGGATCGCCAGGAACCTGGAGGTCTCTCGTTTCCAGAGCAGTGCCTGTGGTCTGGGACTGCTCCGTGGTGCTGTGGAGGGGAATGCCTTCCTAACATCTCTTGGTCTCCTTCCCTCCCCCAGAAAATCGCCTTCATGGTGGGGCTAGGCTTGGTCACCACCGAACACCTGGAAGGTAAGGGTGAGGGGCGGGGTGGAGGGAGGGAGGATGGGGCCCAGACAGAAGTCGAAGGTTTTAGGGTGCTGCCTCCAGGTGTGAGCTCTGCCCACAGGGCGTGGCTGCCGCCCAGGACCCCGCCCCGGAGGTACCCTGCCTGGGACTGCCCTTCCCGTCTGGGAAGGAGGCAGGCTGCCCGGCCCTGCTGTTTGCTAACCATTTGAGCGTGCTTTTCATCTGCAAAATGGGCTAAGGGGACCTTCCTGGGGGGGAGCCTGAGGCAGTGCCGGGCGCACACGTGTGTGCATGCACACACACACACATACACACACACGGCTCATTTTGAAAATGGCCTCCAGCCCTGTGATGCCCCAAATAGGAATTTTCACCCTGTCCTCCACAGAGGTCCGTGGCCCCTGAGGGGCACACGTAGACTAGAGGGAAAAGCAATTCCAGCAGATGAGGGTCGGGGGGGGGGGGAAGACCAGGCTACACCCAAGGCAGAGCGGTCTCAGGTCCCGCCAGACATACAGACAGCCAGGGAAAGGAAACCCACGCCCCAACATGGATGGACAGACCCCACGCCAGGCCGCCCGAGCCCTGCAGACCTGACCTGGCTGAGCCCTGAGCCACAGCCTCGTCATTTTGGACCGATGTGGATCTGCGGTAGCTGTGCCAAGAGGCCAGCGGCCACACCATGCCCCACACAGGGCCCCACGGTTACAGCGGGTCCCCGCCACCTTCCGCCAACCCGATACTCAGCCTCGAGCACCAGAGTCTCCCGGAAGCTGTGCCCAGCACACCAAGCCAGCGCGCAGCTGCTCCAAAGCAGCACCGGGAACGGTGGATGCGGTGACCGGCGTGTGTGTCTTCCAGAAATCCAGAGCAAGCGTCAGGAACGCAAGCGAAGGAGCACAGCCAACCCTGCCTACAGCGGCTTCCTGGAGACAGAGGTGGGCCAGGGCCGGCTCCTGTGGGGGCAGGGGGGGCCAGGGCTGGCTCCCGTGGGGGGCGGGGGGGCCAGGGCCGGCTCCCATGGGGGGCAGGGGGGGGCCAGGGCTGGCTCCCATGGGGGGTGCAGAGGTGGGCCAGGGCCGGCTCCCGTGGGGGCAGAGGTGGGCCAGGGCCGGCTCCTGCGGGGGCACAGAGGTGGGCCAGGGCCGGCTCCTATGGGGAGCAGGGGGGGGGCCAGGGCCGGCTCCCGTGGGGGCGGGGGGTGGCGGGCCAGGGCCGGCTCCCGTGGGGGCAGGGGGGGCCAGGGCCGGCTCCCATGGGGGGCAGGAGGGGGCCAAGGCCGGCTCCCGTGGGGGCGGGGGTGGTGGGCCAGGGCCGGCTCCCGTGGGGGCACAGAGGTGGGCCAGGGCTGGCTCCCGTGGGGGCGGGGGCGGTGGGCCAGGGCTGGCTCCCGTGGGGGCAGGGGGGGCCAGGGCCGGCTCCCGTGGGGGCGGGGGCGGGGGGGGCCAGGGCTGGCTCCCGTGGGGGGCGGGGGGTGGAGGGGGGCCAGGGCTGGCTCCCGTGGGGGGGGGGGCCAGGGCCGGCTCCCGCGGGGGGTGGAGGGGGGCCAGGGCCGGCTCCCGCGGGGGTTGGAGGGGGGCCAGGGCTGGCTCCCGTGGGGGGGGGGTGGGGCCAGGGCCGGCTCCCGTGGGGGGCGGGGGGGGTGGAGGGGGGCCAGGGCTGGCTCCCGTGGGGGGGTGTGGGGCCAGGGCCGGCTCCTGTGGGGGGCGGGGGGTGGAGGGGGGCCAGGGCTGGCTCCCGTGGGGGGCGGGGGGTGGAGGGGGGCCAGGGCCGGCTCCCGTGGGGGGGGGGGCCAGGGCCGGCTCCCGCGGGGGGTGGAGGGGGGCCAGGGCCGGCTCCCGCGGGGGGTGGAGGGGGGCCAGGGCTGGCTCCCGTGGGGGGGGGGTGGGGCCAGGGCTGGCTCCCGTGGGGGGCGGGGGGTGGAGGGGGGCCAGGGCCGGCTCCCGTGGGGGGCGGGGGGTGGAGGGGGGCCAGGGCCGGCTCCCGTGGGGGGCGGGGGGTGGAGGGGGGCGTGGTGCCCAGAGCGACAGGCGACGCCCCAGGCCACGTGACCATCCCAGGTCGGTGGGCAGCCCGTGACCTTGAGCTTCACACAAGTGCCCCACCAAGGGCAGCCACGGAGAGCCGGTGTTCAGAGCAGTCACACACGTCTGGAACCATCTTCCTTTCTTGGCACAAACCACTCCCAGCGACCAGAGTGGCAGGTTGGCCTGGGGCCTTGATAAAGCCAGGACCGAGGGCACCTGCTGCCAACGCACAAAAGCTTCCACCGCGGGGCCTGGGGCCACCTTCCCAGAGACAGGGTTTTAGGGATTTGGTCTACATGCTCCCCCTTTCCCCACCTGACTCCCCTTCGCTCAGCAGAGGGCAGAGCTCCGGGGCAGAGCTCCGGGGGGCAGGCACAAAGGGCCGTGCTGGCCGGGTTACTGTGCTGCCTGTGGCTGGAGTCCAACCTCTTCTTCCTGCGTGATGGACGCCTTGGGGCAGAGGGGGCAGAGGGGGCCTGGGTGGCAGACTCCTGCCCACCCGCCTCCATCCCGGGCGCCCGGTCCTCACCTCCACCCTGCCCCAGGCCCGGGCGTCCCCCGGCTGCTGCACCCCAAGAGGGAGCCGCAGGGCCTCGGGTGATGGCCTTCGCTGTGTTCTGTCCCTGCAGAGGAAGCGGCTGGCCCCTGCCTATCTCAACAACCCTCTGTTCCTCACCGCCCGAGGTAAGCCGGCCGGAGCCCTGCCAGCTGCTGCCCGCACTGGGGCCCAGACCACAGGAGCTGGGGGCTCTGGGAAGGGAGGGGCCTGTGGTGAGGACTCATTGCCGAGGCTCAGAGCGGGTGCCACCATCACGGCCCCACGGCGTCCAAGGCCACGTGGCGGGGGGTGAGGTTTGCAGACCCCCCCCCAGCCCCAGCCTCTCCACCTGCACTGCCTGCGGAAAGTTCTGGAGAACACCCAGGCGCCTCCGGCCCACGCCCTGCGCCCTCCTGGCGTTGTCAGGGCTGAGAGGGCCCTGGCTGGTTTGCTGGCCGGGGCCCAGAGCCCAGGCGGCACTGCAGATGCGGCTGGCCCAGGAGCCGAAAGGAAAACTCCTTTTTGGGGTCCCCGGTATTGGTTTGCCATCACATACTGGAGCTTGGGGGGCTCTGGGGAGCAGGGCAGGCCACGTGGGGGGCCTGGCATCACATACTGGAGCTTGGGGGGCTCTGGGGAGCAGGGCAGGCCACGTGGGGGGCCTGGCATCACATACTGGAGCTTGGGGGGCTCTGGGGAGCAGGGCAGGCCACGTGGGGGGCCTGGCATCATATCCCTCCACGGGGCAGCAGGGCTGCCCTGTCCACCGTCACGGCCCGTGGTGCACTTCTCGGGCGAGCGCTGGCTGGGACCAGGACAGGGCTCCCCCACACACACACGCACATACACACGTGTACACACATGCACACACACACGCACTGTCACGGCCCACTGGGCCTGGTGCTGCCCTGTCCTGCGGCAGGCCCGCCTCCTCACCTGCTAATGTGTTCTCCGCCCTTCCTCCCTGTGCCAGCCAATGAGGACCCCTGCTGGAAGGTACGTGCCCCATCTCGTGCCCGCAGGAGGGGGCGTGGTGCCATTAGTCACTCGCGGGAGAAGGGAGGGCCTGGCCTGGCCGGGGACGTGGCTCCACCCTGGTGTCCAGAGCTTTCCCAGTCCTGGTCAGCACAGGACTGAGCGGCCCGCTTCTCATGGGTGCTGGCTCCGGCTTGGCTCTGGCTCCGGCTTGGCTCTGGCTCCGGCTTGGCTCTGGCTCCGGCTTGGCTCTGCGGTGTGAGCCGGGGCAGAGCTGGGCAGGCTGACTCCGGCTTGGCTCTGGCTCCGGCTTGGCTCTTTGGCATGAGCCGGGGCAGAGCTGGGCGGGCTGGCTCCAGCTTGGCTCTGGCTCCGGCTTGGCTCTTTGGCGTGAGCCGGGGCAGAGCTGGGCGGGCTGGCTCCAGCTTGGCTCTGGCTCCGGCTTGGCTCTGCGGTGTGAGCCGGGGCAGAGCTGGGCAGGCTGACTCCGGCTTGGCTCTGGCTCCGGCTTGGCTCTGGCTCCGGCTTGGCTCTGGCTCCGGCTTGGCTCTGCGGCGTGAGCCGGGGCAGAGCCGGCCCCTCTCAGCTTCTCTCTGACCAAGAGCGTGGTAACAGCCAGGATTTCGCCCCACATGTCCCCATCTGTGGTCCTGTAACCTCACCCCCGCGCCATGCTCAGGCCTGGCCGCAGCCACGTTCTTCCCTCCATTTTTGGTCTAATTCCAATCCTCACTAGCTTAACGCAGTCCAGGGGACTGGTTCCAGCTGTCTGAGCTGTTGCTGGCGGCACGGGTGCTGGTGGCCAGCAGCTGTTCCGGGCCCCTGGTGCCCGGCCCGGGCGCACAGCTCACGGTCCTGGCGGGGCTTGGCCTCGGGGCCGGAGCCCTGGGTGCTGATCTCCCTCCGCCTCCAGCTTGCCCTGTGCCCAGGCAAGGCCTCCACCCCACCGTGGCATTTGCCCTGTAAGGGATGTGTGGAGCGGGGCTCAGACTGCCTCTGGGGCTTCCCTCCCGCCTCCAGGGCGCCTCCGGCTCGGGAGCCCCAGCCGGATGATGCTTCCTTGGTGCTGGCGTGGGGCCTGGGCCTGGGCGCCAGGGCCTGGTGACGGGGCTGAGCTTTTTCTCTCAAGGCCGGTACTGTGCCACACAAGCCACGCACCACTTCACAGACTCCCTTCCCAAGCTGGCTTTGAATCCCCAGCCTCAGCCCTCGGCCTCTGAGTAGCTTTAAGTTGCAGGTGTGAGCCACAGCTAGGATCTGCCGGGGAAGGGGTGGGTGGGGCCCCGGCCCTGGGCCACTGCGGGCAGTGGCCGGGAGGCCGGGCACGGTCACGGACATGCGTGCTGCCCTCTGGTGGGCCCGGCCAGGGCCGTCATCGCTCCCTGGAGCCCCGGGCTGCCCAGCCTCACAGGAGGGGGGTCCTCCTTGCGCCCCTCCCCTGGCCCTGGCTGTGCAGCCAGGTGTGACGCCCCCCCGGTGTGGGGGTGCCCGGGCGCCCTTCCCCTGCCCGCTCCTGGAGCCTGTGCCGGTGGTGCCCTGAAATCCTGACCGGCCCACGGGCTTTCTGCTGCGGCCCGGCCCTCCCCTTCCCTCCCAAGCGCTGAGCCGCCTCCCGCCCTCCTTCCAGACTGAGAGCACTCATGAGGAGCACTGTGTGGCCTGCAAGCGAGGCGCCAACCTCCAGCCCTGCGGCACCTGCTCAGGGGCCTACCACCTCAGCTGCCTGGACCCGCCCCTCAAGGCCGCGCCCAAGGGCGTGTGGCTCTGCCCCAAGTGCCAGCAGAAGGTGCGGCGGGGCCACCGCGCGGGCCCTGTCCGGGGGGGGGCGGGGGAGAGGGGGCACAGGAGGACGGTGGCCAGCGGGGCTTGAGGGCACCACGCGGGCCCTGTCCCGGCGGGGTGGGGGGGGAGAGGGGGCACAGGAGGAGGGTGGCCAGCGGGGCTTGAGGGCACCGCGCAGGCCCTGTCCCGGGGGGGGGGGGAGAGGGGGCACAGGAGGAGGGTGGCCAGCGGGGCTTGAGGGCACCGCGCAGGCCCTGTCCCGGGTGGGGGGGGAGAGGGGGCACAGGAGGAGGGTGGCCAGCGGGGCTTGAGGGCACCGCGCAGGCCCTGTCCCGGGTGGGGGGGGAGAGGGGGCACAGGAGGAGGGTGGCCAGCGGGGCTTGAGGGTACCGCGCAGGCCCTGTCCGGGGGGGGGGGGGGCACAGGCACAGGAGGGTGGCCCGCAGGCTTGAGAGCTCAGGCCTGTGAAGCGTTGTGTGGGGCTTTGCCCTGTGTGGTGCAGGTG